CCAAGGAGACAGGTCTCACTGGGAGCCAGAACTCAGCATGACCCCAGCCAGGCAGCTGTCCACGGTCCACGGTCCTTGGGTCATTGAAACCAAGGCTCTTGCTGGGCCACAGGCATTGTTCCCTGGCCCTGGGAGAGGTGGCTGTGAAGAGGAAGATCTGTGGGCTGGATGAAGGCTGGGAGCGGTGCGGGTCTTTCTGGAGGAGGCAGTGAGCAAGGGGAGCCCTGAAGAGCAAGGCTGAATCAGCCAGGGAACAGGAGGGCATCTGGTCAGAGGGACTGGTAAGAGCAGGCCTAGAGGCAGGAGGGACAGGATGTGAGGTCTGGCCACCAGTGTGCCAGGAGAAGACTGAGCAGGTGACTGATGGTTAGCTAACATGTCCGTCGGTGGAGTAGGAGGCAGGCACTTCTGATGGGAAGGGGGTGCTGTAAACAAACTCATGGGCGTGTGCTCAGTGGAACTTGCACCTGGAACAGTCGAAGGGGCAGGGATTGGAGCAGGAAAGAAGGATCTTGGAGGCCAGGCCACAATATTTTGAGGGGCTCTCCAGAGCCCACTCCCTGCCCAGCACCTGAGTTCCCCCACTGTGCACACTGGAGGCTTGGCTTTCTGCAGTGTGGGCGGAATCTGGTGAGTCATTCACACTAGAGTACAAATTAGTCCATCACCTCCCAGGGGCCCCTGACAGTCTCAGAATAGCACTGCTTCCCAGACCGGCAGGAGGCCTCATGGTAGCAGAGGTAGCCTGGCTCTGTGAGGGGTATGGCGGGCACCCACTGTGCGACTGCGTCTCTGGAGACTGGTCCCCAGTGCCTTCTTGAACAGCCTGAAGAGCGAGGGTTGGTCCCAGCTGCCCAGAGCAGGTGTTGAAGCTCGAAGGGGACCAGGGCAGGCTTTGGCTGGTATAGAGGTCCAACAGTAGGGATAGGAAATTGTCCTTTAGATTTGGTGACATGGAGGCCATTGGTGACCTTGATTGCAAAGATCATCCCCATTGTGGGAATGGCTGATGACCTGCACAGGGTGGGGATGGTTGGACCCTTTGAGGAGCCATTGGGGGAGGCATAGTCCCAACCCTGGGAGCTCCTGTCTTATGGGGAGCCCCTGTCTAATTTGGGAGCCTCAGTGCTGCTCTGGGAGCCCCTTTCTGATGGGGGAGCCCTCTCTTGGGAGCCCCTGTCTTATGAGGAGCCCCTGTCTAACTTGGGAGCCTCAGTGCTGCTCTGGGAGCCCCTTTCTGATGGGGGAACCCCCTCTTGGGACCCTCTGTCTGATGAGGAGCCCCTGTCTAATTTGGGAGTCTCAGTCCTGCTCTGGGAGCCCCTTTCTGATGGGAGAGCCCCCTCTTAGGATCCCCTGTTTGATGGAGAGCCCCTGTCTAATTTGGGAGTCTCGGTCCTGCTCTGGAAGCCCCTTTCTGATCGGGGAGCCCCCTCTTGAGGGCCCGGTACAGCATGCTTAGGCAGGGTCACTGTCCCAGCTCCATGAAGGAGCAGGTGTTGCTGGCCTAGATTTCCCAGGGACCAGGAGAGGTTGGCTCTGTGACCCAGATAGTCCAATTCTAGCTCAGATGAGAGGCGACAAGCAGCTTCCCATGTGTGGGAGCAGTGCTGTGCTGCCAAGATGGGAGCAGCTGCAGCAGGAAGGGCTTCAGCTAGACGTGCAGAAGGACCTCCAGCTTGTGAGTCTGGGTCTTTGTGTAGAGATGCTTCCTGCAGGTCTCATTGAAAGGGGGAGGGCTTCTGTTCCCTGCCCCAGGCGAGGTGCGCCTGAGACGCACACTGGAGCCACTCATTGCCCTGCTCTGCCAGAGGTCAGGCTTGAGGGATGGTCAGTACACTAGTGAGACACTCAGATGACAGCCACCTGAGTTCTCCCCAAGTCATGGGATGGGGTCTCAGGCACGTCCCCCGGGTTTTGAAGGTGCCTTTTCAGATCCGTTCTTCATCTGCTGTAGGCTGGGTGGGGTTTGGGTAGGGGTGGCCAGATGGACAAAAACTGGAAATACGGTTCTACTACTGTTTTGCTGTGTGGCTGGGAACATTGTACTACCCCTCTGAGCCTTAGTTTCTTTATCTACAAGGTGGATTGGAAAGTTGTTCTGAAGGCTAAAGACAGAATGCGCAGAAAAACCTATGTACACCATGGAACTCCCACTAGTGAGGGGCAGGACACCCAGTGGGGCTGCTTGGCCTGCTGGAGTCAGGAGGACAGGTTCCAGGCTGGGAGGGTGCTCCTCCCTGCAGGCTCTGGAGGAAGCCCAGGCCCAGCTTATAGACGAGTCAGGAGCTGCCGGCCTTCTAGGCTGATCTGTGCCCTCCATGGTCTAGCACAGCCGGAGGTGACAAGAACAGGCCCTGGGTGGCCCCTCAGCAGAGTGGGCAATGTATCTTTGCCCTCCCCTGCCTCCCCTCCAGGAGATATTAAGCTACTTAGTGTCCAGGGCAAGGCCAGGACCTTTCTACCCAGCTGGCGTGTTCCCAGGAGGGGCCGGCAGCAGTCGGGCTGGCGCCCTGCAGACCGGCCTGTGGGCCTGGGAACATGCCAGGCTGCTGGCCCCAGCCAGCCTGGCTCCCCCACTTTAGGCCCAGAGAGTGACTGCCCCTCCCGTCTTCCCAGCAACCTTTGGGCCAGAAGGAGGCCTGGACTGGAGGCAGAGCTAGGGTTTGAACCCAGAGCCGACTGAACACTGAGACCCACTGGGGAGCATTGCACAGCTAAGCTCTTTGGTGCCAGGTACCCACAGGGAGGGTGCTCTGGACTGGCAGCACCCTCCTCAGAGGCCTCCTTCACTGGCTGCAGCTGTTGGGTGTCTGGTGTGGGGTGTAGCCATCCATTCTGCACTCTGGTGTGAGGGTAAGCATGGCAGGGGAGCACTAGTGGAGAGAGTGATGGACCCTCTACCTTCTATCACATAAGGGCCTTTGTACCTGGCCGGTCGCTGGGCCTGTGGTTTCAACCCGGTAAGCATCCAGGAGACAGAAGCAAGGGGTCGTGCCCTGGCCTCCATTCTAGGGGTTGAAGCAATGCTGTCGGCTGCCCCCTGGGAACAAGAGCTCTGTCATTTGTGGGGCCCAGTACAGCCCTGACCCTCAGCTCCCTTCTGGGGATGGGGGGGGGGTGACCAGGAAGCCCTGGGGGTCCCGGGAGAGGCAGGGAGGTTCAGGTAGACAGGGATCCAAAGCTCTGGGACCCCTTCCGTGGTTCTATCTATTTCTGTTTCCTTTCTGATGGAGGATGAACCTCAGGGTCTCCGACCATGGCCTCCTAGGACTCAGGACTCAGGGATGCCCCCTGGCCTGCACTTCATAGGTGACTGTCTGTTCAGAGAAGGGAGGGCCATGCCCCACAGAGCCTGATGAGCCTTTATCCAGCTCTGCCCCAACTGTGACTTAGGCCAAGCCTTTGCTGCGGAGGGCCTCAGTTTTCCTCCTCTGCAAAATGGGCAAATTCTTCCTGGTAGAGTAGACTCAGGAGAGAAAAGCAGATGGGAGGGATTCCTGGGCTGGGGCTGGGGGTGGGGGTGGGGGTATCCTAGGCCTGCCTGAGCGCAGCTCTTCTACTGGGTGGTAGGCGGGAGCTTAGAAAGTTCTGCTTCTGTTGGCTGCTGAGAAACTGGGAGGGAGGGGGGATGTCCCATAACACTTCAAACTTAATAACTGTGGGGTTATCAGATACCTACGGGGCTGGAGCGCCCTGTCCACCAGCCCAGTTCCTCTGGACACCCTTCACCATTTAGCCATTTAGAGAGGAGGAAGCTGAAAGGGGTGGCAGCGTCACACAGCTTGGACCGTGAGAGGTGCTGTCTGGTCAAAGGCAGTGTGGACGCCTGGTGAAGCCCTGGACAGGGAGTCAGCTCGGTCCCCACCCCAGCTTGCAACTGGGGCTGAGTCTCCTGGCATGGAGAGGATAAACTGAAAGTTCTCAAAGGCACTATCCTGGGCTGGGAACCCTTGAGCCGACATGTGGAGGCTGGAGGAGGTGTGAGTACTCTCAGAGTGGATGGGAGGAGATGGGGTCAGAGTTGCTGGACAGGGGTGAGGCCTTATTCAGTCCCACGTTCTGAGTGAGACTGAAATGCAAGACTCTCTTTGAGTGTCCAGGAGCAGAGCTGAGGACTGGGTGCCTCTGAGACAGGTTGATGGATTGTGAGGGCTAGAGACCCCACGCCCTCGCGATGAGGGAACTGCCCTTGGAGAGTGGGCGGATTCGGATTGGAGAGGCCAATGAGCAAGCAGTGAAGGGGGCTGCCGCAGAACCTAACAAATCTATAGTTAAAGCAGGCGCATGCATCCAGGGCCTCTACACAGCAGGTGGGCACGGGACAGACCCGCAGTGGAACTTTCTGGTTGCTGGCAGAAAACAGCCTGAGCTGGCCGCCTCCAGAGAAGCCAGTTTCTGTCCCCAGAGATGCGCAGGCGGAGACGGGGCGACGTAGACTGGGGGCGGGGTGGGGGATGGGCTGTCCCAAGGTCACCGAAACCTGCGGCCCGGTGAGGGGGTCGAGTGGGCGCCAAGCGGCCCCTCATCCCCTGCACTGGCACCCAGGCCACCGGCCGTCCCGGGTCCGCACCCTTCCTGCTGCAGGTGCACCGACGCGCCCGCGCTCCGGGCCGCCC